AAAAAAAATAGAATACAAAAAAAGATACATTTAAATTGCTCTGCTCTCAAGTAAGCGCAATGTGCGTGTAAGGACGAGCAAAGGAGCAAGACTATCTGCTACATATGGCTCTTCTACTTGTTTTCACTCAATATTTCTATATAAAAAAATTTATGGAGCGGAAAAATTTAAATTAGATTAAAATAAAATCAATGCTTTTATGAAAAACTAATTTTGGTAAGAGAAACCATTCAGTACGGAATTGCTTTACACTTGAATTAATACTCGTATATATGCTTTTCAGTAAAAACTTCCAAACAATCGTTGTTTAATATAAAATTAGACAATATGCATATTTAAAAGACAACAACATGGTATTGATAGCATTTAAATAAAATACTATAGATTATAAAATATATTTTTTTATGAGTATAGGTAGAATGTTGTTTGGTGATTAATTACACCACCACGATTAATAATCCCACCACGATTAATCTGACCCACCCAGTTTTAAAATGCATCAATATTTGATTGAGTTCCTTTTATGACTGAATATTTAGAGCATAAAAGCGATAGTGATATTTGTTTTGGAGTTAGATAAAAAGTAATCAAAATACTGATACACACGACCTAGCTAGGTGCGTTAACGTTCAACTTATCTGTTGCCTGGTCATAGCAATATCGCGGGCAACTGTAGGACAGATGAGCTTGCCAAGGCAGGGACTCTTCTCCCTGATATTCACTTATCAATGAAACAATGAAACAAAAATATATAAACATTGCCAAGCAACAATGGGCTAATGAGCCCAGTTGTCAGATTTTTAGGTCGATTTGGTCTAATTTGGACAAAATATGTACGAGTCAGCTACTTCAACTAAAACGGAATCTGTTTATCATTACGGTATCGATGCTGACAGGGCACTTCTTAATAGGGAGGCATGCTATGAGACTAGGTATTCCTTATAATGACCTTTGTCGCGGTTGTGGCTCTGAAGACAAGGAGGGAACTGTTTTCCATCTTATGTGTCAGTGCCCATCTTTATCTACGAGAAGATCAAAAATCTTGGGATCCCTTTTCTGACCGATCTGACTGAGCTGTCATTCTACAATGTTAGGAACCTGGCTAGATTCATAGAATTGTCAGTTTAGTTTTTCTTTACCTATATGGGAGAGTCGTTGCACTTTTCGGCGTTGGATGTATAGTGATCACTTTATCTACGGAACATTATTTGAGTGGGCTTTCTTTCTTATAGATAGATGTCGCAAATATCTAGTGTACGGATATCATCCCTTTTTAAAAGAAAGTGGGACACTCCTATTCATGTAGAAGCAACATATCCCAACAATCTAAAAACTTGACTAAAAACTATATAAAACTAAAATAATCTGCAGAAAGTTTAAATTTTTGTTTTAGTCAGTGGTAGGCGGTGACACATGTGGTAGAGTACAGTTTCGTAGTTATCCGCAGAACTTCAACTCTGACAAAATTCATTAGATGGAAGGCCATGTCTTATTGCATGTCCACAAAATACCTTGTGACTTCACTTAAGAGTGTAGTATTTAGTTGCTTTCGCTTTAGTTACAGCAGGTGACTGGTAAGAATATTGTCGAATTCAAACCAAGTTTTATTATCTGATGACAATTTTCATATACTCAGGCTTTCTAAGAAAAATACCAATACCAGAGGCGTAAATATCGTAAAGCAAGTTTATCTGCTTTATATCTCAAGCATATATGTTAGTCCTTCATCTTTCAATTGATCCAATATAAGTATCTGAATACTGTTAGTGAAAAAATTGCGTTGTGTTTGACCACAAAACAAGTTATTTATTCTTATAAGTCCAACTCTTCCTTTAGAAAAGTACGGAAGAAGTTACCCATCTAATTTGGTCAATTCACAAAATTAATTTTTTAATTATTTTAGATAGGTTCACATTAGCTTTGGTGAATATTAAAAAAAATTGAATTAAACTATTTTTTACTTAAAATTTAAGCAAACATTTTCCACCTGCCGCTTTAAGCCATAAATTCTGAAACTTAATAGCATTAAATACTTTTCCATGACACATAATCGCGTCCATAAAAGAAGAAACTAAAAGCGAGTGATATTCCCAAATCGACAGTAGAGCAAAGAATAAAAAAAAAACAGAAAACACAGAATAGAAAAAAAGTTCCATGGAACTTAGTTTTTCTCTTTGCAATCACAAACAATTTTCCTGGTTTCACTACAGGAAAAACTTAGTCGTTTTGTTTAACAAACTTTGTCGCCGCTTTAATATAGAATTTTCCTCAAAAAAAAAAAAATGAAGCTATGAAAAATCAGAATTTTCCTACATTTTTCATAGTAACGACAGTTTATTTTCATATGTGCTCGGGTGCGAAGTAGTGAAAATCCTTGTTAATATGTGTCTCTGAGTGTGAATGTAAGTAAAATATAACTTCGGGTACATAAGTAAGCTTATTTGTGAAAGTTTTTAGAAAGTTTGTAATGCGTTTTACTTTTACTATTTGCATACAATAGATTTTTATATTATTTTTTGAATTATTAAATTTAAAATAATATAAAAACGTTGCCACATTTTCTGAAAACACACACAAAATAAATCCTTAAAATTTTTTATACTAAAGAATTACGGGTTTTAGAAATGTAAGTGTAATGCTTTATTTTCTATCTGATTAGTAAGTTCGTCACTTTTTAAAGTTCTCTTAAGTAAACATAAAAATGCCTCGGAAAAACATAGTTCAACCTTTCAAAACGAGTTTCAATTTGGTTACATGGATTTGAAAAAATTATAATAAGTGCTATATATATTTAATATTATATAAAAATAGGAACTACGAACGAGAACTGCTTAAACAGATCTTAAAATCAGACAATATATTCCATAGTGAGCATTATTTAGCGAAATAGATCATCTGAGTCGGGATGAATTGATGAAGTATCAATTGAAAATCATAACCAACAGTACTAGTCATGTTTAAGAAATTTGAATGGAGTGATATCTCTAACAAACTTTGTGTTAAATTGTTTCTTCGATATTTTCAAAGGAATAAAGTAATCATATTTTCGATATTTGATTAACGTAAATAATTTTAATATTACAAAACCTTTATTAGGTTACTTAATATTATTAAATTATTGCCAAATATTTGATCAATTTATCTAATTATAGTTGTGAATGGTCTGTCATCTGGTTTTAAGCCCACTTCCCAGGAACCACTCGATTATTTGATTCTTTCAACGGCTAACTGGATAAAGTGAAACCTGTGAGTATACAAATAGGTGAACCTTATTTTTAATTACTTTCAACCTATAAAATTGGTATAGTGCTGTATTGTAGCACTCTCAAGAAGATATATATGACCTACTAGTAATTATATTTTCACATTGTTTAATTTTCAACTATGATCTTATTAAATTGATAGTGCCTTGAATTATTTTCACATCTTTGGATCATTTTATTCAACTAACTAGAAACCGTAAAACCTGTAAATAAACAAATGAGCAATTCTTACTTTTAATTCCCTTATATATATATAGAACCTGACAGCTTACTTTTAGCTGTACTTTAGCACTTTTTTCATTGCATCTTTAGCACTTTCCATTTATTAAATGAAATGTGACTGAAATTGTTTTTACATATAAACAAATTAAACATTTATTTATTTATATTTTGTCACATTTAATTAAATATAGTTCCAATCGTGTTATTTTTATATTATCATTTACTTAAATTTTATCACATTTAATTGTATATTTTTATCACGTATAATTAACATATATATTTTTATCACATTTAATTATATATTTTTATCATATATATTTATATATAGTTCTAATCGTGCAATTTTTATCCATTTATACAGTTTGCGTATTGGGGTTAAATATGCCATCAGATAGATTATAGCTAAGTATATACCTTTTTGTTTTTTCGCATTTCCTGTGTCTACTCTTCACCATGTCCGGTTATTGTCATTAGGCAATTACTTTGGTCATTTGTCGATAACTACGAAAATGGTTATGGAGCCATGATAGTGACAAAGCTCCAGTTAGCGGATAACTGAAGGTTTAGATACAAAAATAAACAAATTCAGTTGATTTAAGTTTTTCCTTAAAAAAATTGAATATGTCGATCCATCTTGCATACTAAAAATATTCCGAATACTAATAAGTAGAGCCGGTTATGATATAATCTACTATTGAACTTAGGTCTTAATATTTAACAAAGAAATTAGTTCATGTTCCAGCATATCTTGTATAAAACTCTCTTCAACTAAGTTATCATAACAGAGCTCTCCCATTTAAGCAAGTTAGCTATTCTTTATAGAATTTACGAAAAAAGGACAATACTTACCATAATATTCCAAGTATCGATTACACAAAAACGCATCCTCTAAGCAAATACTTTTGCAATGTTTGAATGTGTGTATTTACTATTGTGGATATATTTTTAATAAAGTTATTTACTATGGCTATTGTGTCTTGAATCCTCCCTCCAATGTCTATAAGTGCTTTAACAACGTAGGCATGCTATGCCTAATGCTATTATTAAGTTCTTGGCCAAAATATTTACTAAATGCCTTAAATAATTTAGTTATAAAATTCCTGAGATGCAGTTGCATATCACATTGTTTGGATGAAATAAGTCTAGCAGTAGAAATTTCACCTGAATTCCATGAACGTACAAAATGCAATATACAAGTCGTACGTGAACAAAAATATGAACACAAAAGTGCCACTAAACATTTTTCCAAACCCAAACCCTCCAAAAAAAAAAAAAATAAGAAACCTATAAACAAAACATATAAAAAGTTTCAAAATATAAGCAAGAAACAAGGATATGAGACAAAAGGATATATAATAAAAGTAAAAATATTTTTGGCAAATAGTATAAAGTTAGGAATGATGGTTAACTATTTATGGTTGATGTGCATGTGTGTGTATGTGCGTGTGTGTAGGACGAGTGGTGCTTTTGTATCCTGCAATTTCCTTTAGCATTACCCAGGAATGCAGTTGTTGGATAATGCCACAAGGTGTTTTATGTAGTTCCTGACTGATTCCAAGGACAATAAATAACACTTGCTTGTTTAGTTGTAAAACATGCATCATGTCCTTTCTGCAGATGTTTATGTGTTTGTGTGTTTGTGTGTGCGTTGCTTGTTTATGCAATAGCAGAAGCCCACGTGTGATGGAAATGCATCATGCATATTCAGCATGAATCTCAATGGAGACTTAGAAGTGGGAGTACTGAGACTCTTTGTGGAATATATTTTAGTTGTGTTATGAGAAAATGGATTTAATGTGAAATTTCATTAGAATTTTTATTTATTTTTATTTTATTTTTAATTCCTATATATATGTGCATCTATTCTTCCGTGCAAAGCTAACTTGAAAGGAATTTAGTCAATATACTCGTGCTCGTATAATGGATTGAAATGCAGAATGTTATGCAAATTACTTCACTTAAATTCAAACTATTCAGATATTGAGGATTTCATCTTCACATATGTCACGTGCGCACTTAAGGAGTTAAATTTAATTGTAGATAAACAATTTTAGCACACAAATTTATACATACCTATTTTGCTATATAAAGCACTATGCATTCGATTCCACTCTTGTAGCTTAATTTAATCAAATAAAAAGTTTTTTTTGGGGGTAACATATTATGCAATGAATTTATAATATATATGCATATAAATAGACATAATCTTGAGCAATTGAAGAAATATTTTTATTCACAATAAAAAATTTAAGAATTTTAATGTAAAATAGACCGACCTACACATCCAGCAAAAAAAATAAAAACTAGGCCGCTAAAAGGAAGGAACCAATAGCCATGGATGTTTTCTAACAACACAAGCGATAATCATTTTTTAAAAAACTGACATTCAACAAGAATTTAAATACAGTTCTAACCTTGAGAAGGAAATGCTACCCATACTCCTCTGTTAGTTAATTTAAAGCTTCTCGCTGTAGAAATAAATTTAAAGAGATTATATATCAAAACCTTTATATATCTTCCATACTCGTATAGTTAGTTGTTTGGTTGTAGTAGCAGGCTAGCAAATAATTTTTCATTGACCTCAATTAACAATTTTCTGTCGTTTTGGTACGGCACTTTTAGTAAGAAACCTTAAAATGAAAAGATATAAATTAACTCCATCCTGTCGAATTTAGATAATTTAATAGGTCTTTATCGATGTCATATAATCTGTGTTTGTATTCTATTTGTATTCTAATCATATTCTATTTGTATTCTACTTATTTTCTATTCGTATTCTATTTATATTCTATTTATATATATTCTATTTACTTCTATTTATATATATTAATATATATATATACATTTATAATAATTTATTCTATTTATATTTATAGTTGTATTCTATTTGTATTCTATTCGTATTATATTTGTATTCAATTTGTTTTCTATTTGTACCCTATTTATATTCTATTTGTATTCTATTTGTTCTCTATTTGTATTTTACTTGTTCTCTAATTGTATTCTATTTGTTCTCTATTTGTATTCTATTTGTTTTCTATTTCTATTCTTTTTATATTCTATTCGTATTCTATATATATTCCATTTGTATTCTATTTGTTCCCTACTTGTAGTCTATTTGTATTCTATTTGTTCTCTATTTGTATTTTATTTATTCTCTACTTGTATTCTATTTGTTCTCCATTTGTATTCTATTTGTTCTCTATTTGTATTCTAATTGTATTCTATTTGTTCTCTATTTGTATTCTATTTGTTTTCTATTTGTATTCTATTTATATTCTATTCGTATTCTATATATATTCCATTTGTATTCTATTTGTTCTCTACTTGTAGTCTATTTGTATTCTATTTGTTATCTATTTGTATTCTATTTGTTCTCTATTTGTATTCTATTTGTTTTCTACTTGTAGTCTATTTGTATTCTATTTGCTCACTATTGTTCACTATTTGTATTCTATTTGTATTCTATTTATATTCTATTTGTATTCTATTTATATTCTATATGTATTCTTTTCGTATTTTATATGTATTATATTTGTATTCATCCATTTATACACTTATTTTTCTTATTGATATCTTGTAATCTATGTCAGATTTAAAATTTGCCTTGACGAAGCCGTGACCTTCATTTTATTTCATTCCAAATCCTATGGTGCTTATATTTGACTGATTTCCATATCTTAAAAAATTGAGAGTGACGATCCGGTTTCTTGTCGCGATCATAAAAATATAAATATATAAAATAATAAATAACATACTAGGCATTGAATTATTTAAATAAAAAATTTACTTTGAAAATTTAAAATTATTGTTTTACATATTTTATTTTAATCAAATTAGTTGTTTCCATTTTTTTCTCGTAGCACAAATGCTTTTCTTGAAGCATTAATGCCTAAGCATAATTAATTTTGGCTAACAATCTTTTATTAAATTCAAAATTTTTGTATTGTAGTCATCAAAACTAAGGTACACATATCAAGTACTTATAATTAAAGAACAAATTTTATTTATTTTTTCAGTGTAACTTGACATCGCAATGGATAACTGTAATAATAAAAAGGGTGACGCTAATTTCCATCTAAATCCAATGAACGGTTTTGATAACTTCGATGACGATAATCACTTTAATCTGAATCAAATTGAAGGTATCTTTTTCATTGATGAAGATGTCCCTCACGCTAGCTATCCAGACGACAGTGACGATCAATATGATGATTATGAGACATTTCTGTGGGAAAGTGGCAGCGATTCAGAATTGGAATACACCTTTGTTGGAACAGAAGAAGATCACTGTAGACCAATTCATACTCCATGCAGTTCTACGCAAGACCAGTGCGTTAATAGAGAAAATTCTGCATGTAAAGCACATATTCAACAGAAGATACTTGAAGCTGCAAAAGATGCAAAGCCACAAATGCATATTGAAGAGGAAGAAAATGACTTCTACGATAGCACCCAAAGTGTGGGTCGTAAAGTTTTTGTGCAAATCGTAAAACCCAAACCCAAACCTAGAGCTTTTAATACTGCGTCGTGTTCACGTAAAAATAAAACTAAAGTTTCCAAACGTGCAGGATATATGTCATCATCAGACAATGATGATTGGTCCGATTCTGACTGAGGACGAAATCAACAAATTGAAAAATGCAAAGTTATGTGAAGAGGAGGAGGAAGCAAAAACTCTTAACCATTATACTCTACGTGTAAGAAGTAAGGGTTACATTTAAATTGTCAAAGCTAGACCATAGTGTTCTAAACCTGTACTCACCTCTTCAGTTTTTTTATTTAACAAAAAAAATTAAGTTCCAGATGATGATTATGATTGGTGTTATTCTAAGTAAAAAATCGGCGAGTTCTAATAAAGAATTGTTATATGTTGTTTAGGCGTACAATGTATAAGAACATGTATATTCACGAAAGCATTTATATGACTACAAACTTTAATTGTAAACATATTGTTATTAAATAATTAAATATAATAAGTAAGAGAATTTGTTGTGTTTTTAATTTTAATGTGAGAACTCACTTGTTAAGCCCAGGTATTTAATTTTTAGATAATGGAATCATTATTCCTATTTATGCCTTGTGCTTCGATGGAATGAATAAAAATTTCATTGTTGGACAGCTTTTCTGTCCATTCGGCATTATTAAGTGATATAAATACTAAATAATTACATTAAATGCATATTCATATTTTATTTTTCTATTTTGAGTATTTATTGATATACAGGGTATCAAAAAATCTCGACCTAATTTAACATTAACCACAAAAGTGAGTTACATAGTACTTTCTACAACAAAACCATTCAAATTAATTGAGTAATAAACCTATGTTTTCGGTCCCGACGATGCAAGCCAGCGTAAGATGTGCATTTCAGTTTTGGGCATAGTATGTTCGGTGGTTTTCATATCGGTTCTTGTCTCATTGACATAACGTACGTTTTATATATTCAGACTTTTCCTCTTAAGCTTAGATAATTGTTGCGCAATATAGGATCTCTAAGACAACCTGCTACGCGAACCGTTTTGTTTGTTTGGGCGATAGCTTTAGCACTTAAGACAAAGGTAGTTAAATCCCATGACCTGCTCTATAAGAGTATCGTACGATACAAGTTAACATCGAAGAGGGTGTCTCGAGGTTGTTAGGGACTCATTTCAATTTCTCAATCCATTTAGGTATGAAGCCTTATTTAGTTTTCAAAGTCTAAAAATTCACTATTTAGATGAACCGATAGATATTGGAAATTTTTTGGTTAAGAATTCTGTATGAAATTTACAGAACGTTTTGAACAAACACCCTGTATGCATATGAATATTTAAATATATTTATTAAGTGTTAAAAATTAATTTGCATAATACATACACTAATTACACTTAATTATTTATATTAAAATTGAAAATGGATTTACTTTCATTATATAAAATAGTATATTCCGATTTAATATGAAAGTGTGAGTTTTTGATTTAATGAAAATGTTTTATTTATGAAAGTATTCATTTAATATTGTAACGAAACAATAGAGGCTGGATAGGGTTAAAAATCTTACTCCCTTTTTTTGGTTAAATATTAATAAAATTTTATTTTAAAATAAACTGACAAATGATTTGCTGACTTTGGAACTCTGAGCATCAATTGCTAGTATTTAATTATTCATTTATATAAATAATGTATATATATATTATTTAAATGTGAATATATTTCCTTTCCATCGAATTGAAATAAATCAATATTTAATTGCAATTTAATTGTAAATTAATAAAAATAAAAGTTTTATATAACTTTTACTACTATTTATAAAAACAAAAGTAGTTCTTCAAAGTGTACGAAATCAAAAAGTAAACATGGCAACACTGGAGTAAGTCCTTGTTTACTTTCACGTTTCCGCGTTACTAAGTAAATATTGATTCAACTACGCCACTGTTTGTTTTTTGCTGTCAAATACACTAAACATTCCTTAAGTCCTTAAGCAGCTTTCAATACAATGGAGTACATTTATAAAAAGGAGCGTCGAAATTTTGGCGCCAGTGTATCCTTTCAAGACCATGACGAAGTTATCTTCAATGAAAATTCAAATCGTGAATATGCCAAGGATTATATACTGCAAAATCCTGTTAGTAGATTTACTCAATATGCTGGACAAACGTCAGCAAGTGAAGCAAATACAGAGCGCGCCACTTATAAACACACTGGAATACTCCACACTGAGGGCGGTTGGAAATTGGTAAGACCAAATTTTTTCAATTAATAAAGAATAAATTAAGTTCTCTTCAATTTCTATAGGATATAAATGTTAATGATCCTGAACAAACTGTACGTTATAAACGTAAAATTGAAAAGGATGAAAACTATATAACACAAGTAATGAGCTTAAGCAAACCAATGGAACACTACATACATCAAAACAATGCTGTGAATATATATGAAAATTATTTTGAAGATGTTGAACCAGCAACACTGCCGGAACCTTGCAGATCGCGTACCGTTAATGTTTATCGTGATCCAAATCCTATGAAAGTGCCCGTAAAACATATATCTTGGTCACCTGATGGTGGTATTAAGATGGCTGCTAGTCATTGTGATATGAGATTTCAAGGTGATAAGTTTGATCAGAAAACTTATTCCTATATATGGGAAATTGAAAATCCTAATGAACCATTTTTAACACTTGAACCAAAAGTACAATGTGTTTGTTTGGAATATAATCAAAAAGATCCAACAAGTTTAGTGAGTGGCATGTTTAATGGACAGGTAGCCGCTTGGGATATACGACATGGTAAACATCCTGTTATGATTAGTGAACGTGAAATATGTCATCGTGATCCAGTTACCTCAGTGCTTTGGAATAATTCAAAAAGTGGTACAGAATTTTTTTCAGGCGGTTCGGATGGTCAAGTTATTTGGTGGGATACGCGTAAATTAAATGAACCACTAGATAAATTATTAATGGATCCAGTACGCACAGATGAACAAGAATTATCACGTTCATATGGTATATCAGTGTTGGAGTATGAAACTACTATACCAACACGTTTTATGGCTGGTACCGAAATGGGTATGTTATTCTCATGTAATCGTAAGGGTAAAACTCCTATTGAGAAAATACAAATACGTGTAAGTAGCAGGGGTTACAGGGGCTAATATTTTAAATAATTTTTATATTATGATTGGTATGCAGATGAAATGTCATTGGGGCCCGATATTTGCTATAATGCGGAATCCTGCTTTTGTTAAAAATTTCTTAACTATTGGTGATTGGAATGCGCGCATTTGGTCTGAAGACTGTCGTGAAAGTTCAATTATGTGGACCAAGAATTGTGCAGCGATGTTAACTGATGGTGCGTGGAGTTATACTAAGTAAGTTTCATTATGGAATTTTAGGAACATGAATCAGTTATATGATGGTGATTCAAATAGATGAGTAAAACTAAAACTATTAGTTTAATATATATAAACGTTAATACAAAAAATACATTATATTTTTACGGACAATTCTTTCAAATCATTTAATGCATGAATGTTAAGTAATTTATTATCAGATTATCCAATCCTGTAATTACACTAGCAACTCTTGCCAAATTCTAGCCAGTGTAGATGCCGAGTGAGTTCACTTTATATATATTAGTAAAATAAAAAGGTATGACTTATTGTCGGCGATCTATAAGTTTTATATTTATTATATTTAATACGCATTTATTATTTTTTTTAACTACTTTCAATTTCTTGTAACACGTATGGACAATGTCTCGGATACATATGACTTATTATAAGTCATGTATATATATATTATAATATACATATACTATTTTTTGCAGAGTCTCCCAATTTTTTGTGACTCGCATGGATGGTGTTTTGGATACATGGGACTTATTGCAACAACACAATGAACCAGTGCTCACGGTTAAGGTATGTGACGAACCCTTGTACTGTGTACGAACTAACGAGAATGGCAAATTTGTTAGCTGTGGCAGTCAGTTAGGTGCTACGTTCCTAATAGAGGTGTCCGAGAACATGATTATGTCTGCTAAAAATGATAAAGCACTTTTGACAGCGGTAATATATTCTATATATATATAAGTCTATATATTACTTGTATTAATACAGTTTAATTTTATAAATATTGCATTTATTTTTTTCAGATGTTTGAGCGGGAAAATCGTCGTGAGAAAATACTTGAAGCAAAATCACGTGAAAGTAAATTGAAAGTTAAATCTAATAATCAACCCAATGATAAAATCGATGTAGTCGATATCAAAAAGGATATTGAAACATATCAAAGTGTTTGTGATCAGGCAGCGACTGAATATCATGCTGCTGTTGAACAAGAGCGTTTGAGACGTCTATCTGGTTTAAAACGTAGGTGTTTCGAAATAGAAATATTTAGTATAATTAATAAATCGTTTTTGATTGCAGAGGGCGCGGAGGATGGTGAAGGATCAGAGTTGGAAAGTGCAAGATCAGGGAAATAATTCTATTATCATTAAAATAAAATTGCAAATGACCAATACAATTTTTAACTGCGGTTTCAGTTTCTCAGAGAATATATATTTTCCTACATAAACAAGTGTCAATATAAAATGAAATTCAATGAATTTAACTAATAAAAAATATGCCCGAAATGTTATTTATTAAATATCACTAGTTGATTTTTTTAAAAATAGTGACGAAATATTTAAATATAACAATTTTGTGTTTTTAATGAAAAAATAAATTCAAAGCGGATAATGCCAAGTATCTATCATCATAGGATTTAAAAAATTGTTTATTAGATTGTAATTGTAAATTTAAGACTGCAAGCATCAAGTTTCTCACTTGAATCCTGTCAATTTTAAATATTCCTTTGTTGTTTCACATTTTCTTTGAAAAACTGCTAAGACTAGCTAATTTCGATCAAGTTTAAGTAGTGATAGAACATTACTGACTTACAGAAAGTCATTTCTAATTTTACTTGTGCCTAATGAGCCCCAGATATCATGGACGCATCAGTTAAATTATGTCAAAGTTATCTTAGGTGTATACAGATTTTCCTAATTTACCAATCATAAACTTATGACCTTAAGAAACCAATTCCAAATGTTTAATCTTGTTTTTTTTGGAACAATGAGTTTTTTTGCTCTTGAGTGTTATTAGGCTACTAGGATATCTGAACTCAATACATTTAAAATTTTCATATGGTTGTCAGACTCAAAATTGTTTACTCAATACTTCCCGATTCTTTAAGTTATCTAAGCATTCACTGGTATTTTTTTTATATTTAGCAATGTTCTCACTTTTATTTCCCATTTGAAATGATTTAATTGTCGTAGGGCATAAAAATTGTTAACTATATATAGTGATTAATCGTAACTGCAACATACATATATATGAAATATAATTAACATACTACCTTCTGGATACTCAACTCAGTGTCTAACCAATGGAGGTACCAAGACAAGAGTGATATCTCGCGAAACATCAGGCTTAACGAGTTTGTCAGAGCAGGTATGCGGGCGTCTGAAAATCATTCCCCAAATATTGATATTTCGCTCATAGCAGCTAAAATGACCATCAAACGAACAATCGACCTTTGGACTCGTCCCCTTGAAGAAGCTAGGTTTCTTCGACTGGATCCTGGTTAGTTTCAAATTATTCCCATTCCTCCCTCTTCCCTCATTCCAACACTTACTCCCACCTTTTCCATTCCTTAACTCGTGTATTCGTCTTGTAATCCTTTCATGTTATCTGCTTTCTGGTCCCGGCGGGTTACAACAACAACAACAACAACAACAACAACAACAACAGCAACAACAAAAACAACCATCAAACGAAAAGTGATAGCTAAAATAGCCTGAGTAAATACAGATTTCTTTCAAATTTTAGGACTTATTTGGATTCAATTTAGACAATAAGCGTACCAATCAACTCTTTTAACTAAAGTGAAACTTAATCAGTACTACGGCTGACAGGTCATTGTATTTTAAGAAGATAATTATGCCTTCTTCTATCCATATGATTTTCTTCGTGGCTGTGGCAGCCTGGGTAGATAAAGATTCCCTTAAAATTTTAGGACTTACTTAGATTCAATTTAGACAAGGAGCGTACCAATCAACTTCTATTGATGACAATAGATCAATTGCGTGGTAGGAAGATATGCAATGAGACTTAGTCTATCTAACAATAAATTCTTCCGTGGTTATAGCAGAGCAGGAGAAAAATATAACTTACCTTGTGTAGTAGTGCCCATCTTTATTTAATAGAAAAATTTTTATTTTCGGAGTATCTTTTCTCATCGAACTATTGTATCTTTTATAACTGCCCTCCTTCAAAATAATGGATATAGACCAGTTTATAGATTTCTCAGGTTGCTTCACTTTTGCTTGATTTTTAGAGCCGTACCTGTTTTCTAAAACGTTGTCTAGCCCGATACCTTGTTCTACATAAGTTTTTCGGTTGTCCATTTAGTTTGACATAGGAATCAATTTTTTATCCGTGATATAGTAATGGGCTCTATGTGTTTCCGTTAGCTTTGGTGTGCAAACCCGCTACTCGAATCTAACCTAATTATATTTAAGCTTCTGTGTTTTGGTATCTTATAAAAAAATCATTAAAATCTAACTCGTTCTATTCTTTTTTTTGGGGTATACACACTTTAATGTATCTATGACTTTTTCCCTTTTATATTGTTTTCTTAATATAAAAAGCGTCCTGTCGGTATCAAAAGTTTTGACTTTCGCTCCCGGTAATCAATATTACCTTCAATTATTCACAAAGACAAAGTACAAATAAGAAGAGAGAAAAAATGTTTGTATAAATCTGATGTGAAAACAATTAAATTTTGGTATTTTTACATATTTAATTTGCAAGTTTGATGTTGTGGAAAATTTTGGAGTAGCACCCACTACAATATGTCTGCTACTTGGTGTCCTTTTATATGTACACACTTGACTAATTGTTGAGCAAATCTTCCAAACTTTTAAAATTAATTAAAAACTTTACAACAGCAAACATCAAATGGGTTTGTTTGCAGGATTTAGTAGAAGGCAGACATCCATCCAAAAACTGATGGTAGTGCGCTTGACAAATTTCAAAGTCTCACAAGGAAAATCTTTCTTAAAATTGGATTTTGATCACATGCACAATAAATAATCTCTTTGGATAATAATAAAAAAAAATAAATATTTATTTTATTAAGAATTTTAAAATTTTTAAATAAAAGTATTAGCATTTTTTAAGTCTTAAATACAAGACTGCAAGATTGTAGCTTGTAGCGGATTCTCATATTTATTTTCACGTCATTTGCTGTGTTTCACACTTTGGTTAAATAAGACAGAAATTGTAGTTTATTTCAATTAGACCCGCATTTATGTCCCTTATGGGTATTTGCGGCACAAACACGGCTAAGACCATCCTTGCAGTGTGACAGTGTGGAAGTTTGTTTGCATATTGGTTTCTTTGTCTGCAGTTTCATTTGTCAAAGTTGTAGTTATTCTGCATTTCATCCCAGCCTACAGCCTTGTAGCTTGGCAATCAGGGAGACCTGCACCGCTTTGTGGGACTAATGAACGACAAAGGATGTGAATGTCAGCTGTAAGCGCGGTTTTATGACTGCATAAATGTTGCGAGTTTTTCTATAAAATGTTGCCAGTTTTTAGTTAAAAGCTTTAACAGACATTGACATTGCTTTGTGTGTGAGAATTTCTGAGTGGGTGGAAAAAAGTATTCGTGGATAGTTACGGAAACAATACATGGACTTTGTGAATGCAAACACTTTTGTCAACTTCATTGTTGTTATGACACATTCATTCATTATCAGTCTGAGTAAAAAGGATGCGGAAGTGTGATTCGTTTGTGGATTTATGCTTGTTCCGCTGGCAATCAGTCGGAAACAATATGAATCACTTTATAATTTGTGCTTTTATCGCTTAAGCTGAAAATTTTATTTTTTATATATTTTTTCTATTAAAATTTTAAACTCAAAATGTGATGAATATTTAAAGGACAAATAGCATAATACTTAAAAAATATCTACAAACTTTTAATCTATACCTAAACTAATATGAAGTATGTGTACCTAAAATACAAACCTAAAATGTATAAGTTTTTGAAATTTATTCATCTTAGGTTAGGTTAGATTTATTAAGTACACGTTATAATATTGATTCCGATTTACAGTTGAACTTAAGTGAAATGAATATTCTGTTGGGCAAACATACTGTAAAGCTGATTTCTTCTTTACCCTTAAGACACTCAAAGCAAACTCTATATTAAAATACTAGTGTTATTCTAATAAGCTATGTATTTGTTTTCCAAAAAAATATTATCCCTTAATTGTGTATAATTTTTGAATTATTATTTCAAATAAAAATTTATTTCAAATAAAAGTTTCGAAAGTGAAGTACAGTAATCCCCCCACCCCCCTCTCCCCTATAACACGATACCCTTATAACGCGTTTCCATATTAATCGATTTCAATCCCATGTTTAATACGGGCATTCTCCCATATAACGCGAGGATTTGCACAGTTCATAATTAGCTTCGCGTACCTTTGCACGTGTGTATACGGTTTACACAGGAATACACCTACAACGCGTTCTCCTCTCTACCGCGGAACCAATCTACCGCTTTATAGAGGGTGATGATCTGCTATAATACTTAACTTTAAGAATTGCCTAACATTATATTGAGACTTTTAAAATCAGTTTTCACTTCCTATCTTAAAATAACACCTAACATTTCCTAAGACATTCCTTATTCTTCATAGACCCATCTTGTTGATTTAATAAAAGGGGTGGTATTGACCCGTCAGTTAATCTATCTTGTTTTATTTCTTCAGTGGGTATAATGACCCGTTATGACTGTAGTAATAAGAAAGGACTTCGAGCATTATATTACAATCCTATCTTTAATATTTCTTTTGTAATATTTATAATACAATCTTTTTTTTAATTCTTGAGCACTTAGCTTTAGTATTATTATCTTCTTTCATAAAATTTTACCACTTTAAAAAAAAAGGTAATAAAAATTTAAACGCTTTTCAACTTTATCACATTAAAGGTGATAATGGCTTCTCTGATGTGGTAAACAGTTGAAAAGCAAATAAAACTTATATTTTGTTATATATTGTCTGCAAGTTATACTCATTTTTAGACATTTCATATGATAAATGTTAGCACACAACGGCAATTTGGGCAAACCCTCCGTCAGCATTAAAGTAACAATATGCGAGAAGCACTAAAAAAAACAAGAAAAAAAATAATGAAAGTTAATGACATTAACAAATGCCAACGGTGGAAGTACGCTGCCATTACCTAATGTCGAAATAATGTTTTTGACACACCCCACAAAACTACTAACAGATTTGTATGCGCTGGTATGCAATTATACTTTACCAAAGGACGAAATAATAACAACAACAACTACAATAACAACATCGGCAACTACAACAACAACAACAACCACAACTACTACTACTACAATAACAACAAAAATGGAAATGTCAAAATGACGTTTCATCTTATTACAAAGAA